CCGCCTGCTCTCCTTGAGCGATTGACGTCCGAACAACGTCAGAGTTTTTCCCGCGTGTGGGATAAGCTCCCCTGCCACCTCCGTGAGATTTCTTTCAATCTCCATGGCCCGGGTTGGACTCCAGAAGTCATCACTCAACTTGGTGACGTCCTGTGCGAATATCATGATGTCTTCTCGAGTTCCCCAACCGACTTTGGATCCTGTTCGCTTTTTCCTTTCAAACTTACAGTTCCTCCTGGCAGTGCACCCGTCACGTCTCGTCCATACCGCGTTAACCCCCCGGTGGCGAAACAAGTTGACGCGATCCTTGATCAATATCTTGCGGCTGGTCTGATCCAACACTCGACCTCGCCCTACTCGAGCCCTTTGGTAGTCATACCGAAGAAATCTGGTGGTGTTCGCATCACTGTCAATTATCGCAAGCTCAACAAGCTTTGTGCTTTGAGCCAGCTTCCGATTCCTCGAGTTGATGATACTTTGGACAAGTTGTTGAAAGGGCGAATTTATTCCCTTTTTGACATGAAGTCTTCGTTCCACCAAATCACGGTTCACCGTGACACCATCCCTTTGACGGCATTCGTGACGTCTTCCGGGCTTTTTGAGTGGCTGAAGATGCCGCAAGGCAGTTCTGCTGCTCCTGGGTGGTTTTGCAAGGTTGTCAACGAAGTCATCAAAAATCTCCACGGTGTTGCATCGTATTTGGATGATTTAATCGTTTTTGACGACAACCCTGCGTCTCATGTTGACACCATGCGCGCTCTGTTTGAACGTTTGCGCACACACAACTTGAAACTCACCCCACCAAAGGCCACCGTTGGCGCTACAGAGGCGGACTTCCTCGGCCACACCATCTCTCCCGACGGTGTTCGGCCTAACGGGGCCAAGGTCGCGGCCCTAACCAAAATGCCCATGCCCAGGGATGTTAAACAACTTCGCTCTCTTCTCGGCGGCCTCAGCTACTATCGCAAGTTTCTTCCCAACATGGCTACGCGCATTCGGCCCCTGACCACTCTTCTCAAGAAGCAAGCGACGTTCGTCTTTACCCTTGCCATGGAGCAAGCTGTTCGCATCCTGCTCTCTGAATTGGCCAACCCTCCTGTCCTGGTTTATCCGGATTGGGATGCCGTTTCGGACGGTTCGCGACCTTTTCGTCTCTACTGTGATGCTAGTCGCGATGGGTTCGGTGGGACTCTCGAACAAGAACAGCCGGACGGCTCCATCCGACCAATCGTCTTCATCAGCCGAGCCACTTTGGACTCCGAACGTCATTGGACCCCCCTCGACCTCGAAGCGGGTAGCATCGTGTGGTCCATCAAACGACTTCGCGGTTATCTGTGGGGTACTAAATTTCGCATTTTTACTGACCACAAGTCTCTTGAGCATTTTGCCAAGGTGGGGGAGAACAATGCCCGCGTTCAGCGTTGGCTCGAATTTCTTACCGCTTACAATTACACTCTCGAGTACCGCAAGGGTTCAGCAAATGGCAACGCTGATTTCCTCTCTCGCCTTCCGATCGATGCGGCGGAATGTGACCGATCTGGTCGCAGTCGATTGACGCCAGATGGCGATGAGGAGGGCGTGTCCTTCATCCGTTCTTGTGGCCTTACGCCTTCCGTCCATCGCGCCGTGGGTGTTGGCTTGGGTGGGCTCGTCCCCACTTCCCCGACTTCGGTCTTGGGTGGGCTGGCCCCCTCTACCGATGATTTCATCGACTTCCGTCGGCATGGTCCACGTCTCTCGCCGTCAGGCCTTTCGTCTCCACCTGGCAT